CGGAAGACACGTGCTCAGGGCAGAACATCGCCCTCTCATGAAACATCCTGGTGATCACAGTAACAGACTCAATACCCTGCTTGAGGGTCAAAAACTCATGGGCCAAACGCTCCCTTTCCACCGGGGGAACGTACTCGTCACGAAACATAGCGGTGAACCTCTCCCAGGTCACCGCGGCAAGCTCTGCAGAAGAATAGTGCGCTGTCACAAACTTCCACCATTCCTTCGCCCCCAAGCGAAGCTGGTTCAGCGCGAACCGAACTCTCAGATGCTCTGGACATGAACATGTGTAGAAGCACCCCTCAATGTCAGAGATCCACCTCATCGCGGCTATCGGATCCTGACTCCCATCAAACTCTGGTGGCTTCGTGTTGCTGAACTCCCGGTACAGTAACGCGTCACTCCCCTGTGGCCTGGCAGCAGCAACAGCTGCGGTGGCCGCAACAACAACAGCCTCAGTAAGAGCGGCGTACCGCTCATCAAAAGTCTCGATCAATGTGGTCTTGATAGACCCGAACATCTCTGGTATCTCAGCTCGAATGGCCGCAGCCACCTCCTCATGAATCAACCTACGGATCTCCTCATCACTGGTACCACTGGTACCACTGCCTCCTGGTTGATGTCGCGTCCCAACCATGATGTCTCTGAAATACAACACAAAAGAAATCAGAGACTCGCTCGAGTGTACCCACACTCGATATCCTATTCCTACTTGATCCCTGATATCCTAAGGATTCTTACTTGGGCTGCGCACTGATCCGATGTCTTCGGTAGTACGGGCCCAATACTATCGTCCACATTGCATCAATATTCACCCCAAGTCCTCCTCCTTGGATCCCAAGTCCCAAGCACTCTACTCTCCCTATACATAGTCTATTCTCTAGCAGATCTCTCATAAGCTCCTCGCTACTATCTATGTACTCTCAAGCATCTCCTAGCAGCAATATCCCTAGGCTAAGGCATCACAAATCAGGCCACTCTAGTCCAAATAAGAATACCTAGCCTACTCTAGCATGCATATTATATCATAACATATCTCATAACTCATAATGTAAGGGTATTTTGGGAAATCACCGTTCGGGCGCTGGCTGATCGTACACACTGCTCTGCTCTGCTCTTTCAAAAACTTTTTACTCTTGAGAAGAATTTTGTGAATTTTATTTTGAAAAGCCCTCAAATCCTCAGTTTGAGTTCAGATACTCCCGAAGGTGCACCCGAATCCCTCAAACCAAGGCTCTGATACCAACTTGTAACGCCCAAATTTTTAAAACAATTTTTCACAATTTCAAAACATACTTTCATTCATAAAATAATAATAAACATAATGTATCCACTGTCATCATAGAAAAATATATCCCAGAATCACATAAACAAAAGCTCCATGAGTGTGTACAGATCATGTCGGCGCCTTCCCGCGATCCTCACCGGTACCTGAAACACATAACGCAACACTGTAAGCATAAATGCTTAGTGAGTTCCCCAAAATACCACACACAACACATATTAGCCACTCGAGGCTATAACTCTGTTTGACCCTCTGGTCAATGTGCCTCAGTGGGACCCTCCAGTCCCATAACTCTGTGGGCCCTCTGGCCCTAACTCTATGGACCTTCCGGTCCTAACTCTGTAAACTCTGAAACATACATAGCATAAATCACATAGAAATCACATCATGCAAAGGCATACAAAATACTCTGTCACATAACTCCAATTACCACTCTGGGTAAAGTATAGCGAGAAGACTCACCTCGGGTAACTCGGATAATCTCGCACTCGAATATAATGATCTAGCCCCCGCCTAATCACATACACAATATCCTCAAATAAATAATGGCCCTCAAAGGCTAGATTAAATCCCTTTCTACAATCCCACAGAAGGGTAAAAGACCATTTTACCCCTCCTTGACCCAAAAGTCCAAATGTTGACCAAAACCCTAAAAGTCAACGAAAGTCAACAGGGGCAGTACGCTGCGCGTACCATCCCTGGTACGCTGGGCGTACCATCCCTGGTACGCTGGGCGTACTCCGGCGATCCAGAATCGGGGTCTCGGACCCTTACACTGCGCGTATTGAGATTTACGCCCAGCGTAAGTCTCAGTTTCATGCACTTCATGGATTTTGGTCTTAAATGGTTAAGACACAAACTCAAACTCCAGATCTAACTCTCCTTAAGCCTCTTATCCCATAAAGTCGGAACCTTTAAGCCTTTGCATGGTTGTAAAGGTCCCTACACTCTCTAACACCTTTCCTTTCTCCTACAAAGGTCTAGATCTAATGTATGACTCAATATTCACGTCCAAGATTACATTTTTATGGACATACAACTCATATAGTCCTGAAATATGATAGATCTAGGCCAATGGAGACCATTTGCTCATAAAGTCTCCATCTTGGGACCAAAAACCCTAGAAATGGGTCCAAGAAGCACACAACACCAAAGACAAGGCAAGTTTTGAGCTTTTTACCTCAGGAAGAAGCTCCAACCTCTGAAAAGCTCGGATCTACTCTTTCCTACAAACTTCTAGCTTCCAAAATGGCCTCTTCTTCTCTCCCCCCACCTTGAAATGACATTTAGAAGCTTAGAACACCAACACACTAGCTAGAAACGAAGGAGGACTCTCTTTTAGGGTTTCACTCTCTGGAATGGAGGCTGAGATCAAGGCCATAACATTCTTCTTATAGTGCATAAGCCCTAAATTAGGGTTTTCACCTGGGCCGGTTACGCCCGGCGTAACCTTGGGTACGCCCCGCGTACCCGGACGAGTCCGTGTCCAAAATAAGCGCGCGAGTACGCGCAGCGTACTCACAAGCCTAACACTTTTAGTTTGAGGGACTTAATTTGACAACTTGGAAAAGGAGAAGGGTTAAATAGTTGTACCTGGATTTCGGGATGTTACACCATTAGGGCTTATTGGATTTGTTATGGCCCAACAAGGCCCATTTAGGTAAACCAATCCATTTTAGGCCCATTATGGCCCAAAAAGTTAAGTTTCATGAAAGTGGGTTGAATTTCAAGTACAACATGGATTAGGGTTTACGAGTTTACAGTAGATAATGTTTACAAGAGTACAAAATTTCCTAGCTAGAATGCTAGTTGCGACAGTATCATAGTTGTTTCCCCTAAAATTCGAGTATTAGAGCATCGTTCTAATGACCACAACTTTAGGTCCTGACTTGAGTTAATTTATGTATCTATATATTTGTCTGTGTGATTTTTGTATCTCTTTATCATCTCCATTGATTTTTCATTTTTCATTTTTCATTATTTCACAATTCTTGCCAAGATGCTTTCAAAGACAGTAAAATCAACATGGATTTCTTTCTCCTTTTTGGTCACTGTTTATAAGTAGAGGAGATATTGATAAAAATGAATTGGCTTGTAAGGTTTATTTGAAGCAATTATCCTTATCAGGTTCTTGCATTGTTACATATATTCAATGTTTACTATTTCCTGGTATAACCTCCTTAAGATGATAGAGAGATGTGAGAATGAATGAAAGAATGTTTGATGTAGGGGTATGTTGGTCAAGCGGTCATCATCCTTGGATGTCATTTTAGATTTCTTTGTTTATGTTGATTTATAAAAATTTCATCACCGATCATGTAGAGCTTTAAATCATATTTGATTATGTAGAGATTTGACATTTACATTTACAGTCACTTATCACACTTGTTATATCTTTTAAACCTCTTGATTTGCTAACTGATTATATACATTATCTCAAGACATTGTCATGTTATTTGTCTGCAGCAAAGAGAAGGGTCAAAGCAAGAAGTGTTCAAAAAGAAATTAAGTTGAATTTCTTTAACTATATTTATGTTCAAAACATCCCTGCCATTTCTTTTTTCTTAAGAACTTTTTGTAATAAAGATTGTTTTTTTTTTTTTTTGTATAGACTACTTCTACATGATTATAATATGATATATATATATATATATATATATAATATATATATATATATATATATATATATTACATTTTTGGTTCCATATTATTGGCTAGTAATTATAATGAAATATTAGGTTGTTTAGTTTTCATTGTATTTTTTTGTAATATTGGGTGTAATTGTTTAGCATCCTACTTCCATGGATTTTTTTTCAAAGATATGATGTTGTAATCGAAAGAAATGATACAAAATTGTAAAATTGTCATTTTTATCATTCAACATAAAAATTCAGAGGTTTAAACCAAACAACATCTTAAAAATTCAGACCCTCTTAAAAATTCAGACCTCTTAAAAATTCAGATTTTAAAATTTCAGATCCTGCCAAACAGCCCATAACTCAAAGTTTGTGGAGAGAAGATTAAGGAAGGCAAGAGCCAAGGTGAATCACGAAAAAAAAAAAAGGAAAGAGCCAATCAACTCTCCCCTTTCTCTCTCTCTCTCTCTCTCTCTCTCTCTCTCTCTCTCTCTCTCTCTCTCTCTCTCTCTCTCTCTCACTAGCTCCTTGGCGAGTTCTTTTCAGCGAGCCATCTAGCATAACCAAGGGGGTGGAGTAGCGAATTGGTAGCGAGGGCAGTGGCGAGGCTTAGCGCCTCAAACTCCCTTTAGTCTAAGGAGGTGTTTGAGACTGATTTTCAAAATAATTTATTTACTTGTTGGGTTGAAAAGCCAATAAATAAATAAAAAATAGCAATTTTAAAAGCATTTTCTAAAATAGTTTTTTCAATTCACTTTAAAAAAAAAATTCCAAAAACATCTTTGGCTTTTCAAAATTGTTTTTGATTTTTTTAACTATAATAACTTAGAAAGAAGATTTTAAAATCAAACATTTTTTTTTAATGTATTGATTTATTGACTTTTCTATTATAAAAACTAATACAAACACCTTTTTAAAAAAAATTGTCACCACCAAATCAATAATCAGTTTCATCCAAAAACACTTTTGGAGTTTTTCCCGAACACCCCTAACATGATCAACAAATAAAATTTCATGTCGATGGACAAAAATTAGTCTTTTAACGGTGGTTGCTTTATTTTTATATTTTTTAAAGATAGATCGTTGCAACTTGCAATTAAATGATTAATAGGCCCAATGACAAAATATAAGGCTATGGAAGATGAAGTCATGAACAGTTGAACACCATCACAAAGATTTTCCGAGGATTGCATAAAAATCAAATCCAACCTCTGATATAAAATCACCCGCTTTGAGAGGAATATCTTCTTCCGATATCTGGGGTTGTAATCTTTCTGTTTCTTTTAGTCGACCCTTTTGAACAGTTTGTTCTGACTTCACTACGTGACCACGCTACCATCTTCACTCTTCTTCATACTATCAGTAAACAATTAAACACCCAATTGTACAAAACCTCAATCCAATTCATCTCTGCTTACTTCATAATCGTAATCGATCTGTTTTTCGTTTAATTTATCCGCCAAATGAGGAAAAGGGCTCGTATCGCACAAAACACGGTGATTTCTAGTTCTAAGTTTCGATTTTGTTTCTTGATTGTTATAAGTTGACCTAATTATCCGTCACAATCATTACTTTCTTATGTGTGACAGTTACTTGTTAAGGGCTGTGATTATTCAATTGATTCGATGATTGAATGTTTGGTTATGCAATTCATGTAGTTTTCAAATTAAGCTGATAGATATCTTATTTACCTTGTGTTTGTCAAGGGGGATCATCATCATCATCATCATCATCATGATTTAAATTCGAATGATTTCATCAGCCGAATGCCGGATGATATCCTTATATCTATTCTATCTAGTCTGCCTCTTAAAGAAGCAACAATCACTAGCAATCTGTCAACAAGATGGAGATACTTATGGTGTCAAACAGATGGTTTGGACTTTGATGCCAATGAGAAGTTAGATAAAATAGCAACGGATCCAAAATCACTCATTACAGAAAGACCCAAATACATCAATTTGGTAAACCGTGTAACCCGACAACACAAGGCCCCCACCATTAATCTCTTCAGAATTTCTTTCGATTTAGATAAAAGATCCAAAGGTGCCATTGATAAATGGGTTGATTTTGCAATATCCAAAAGAGTTCAAAAGCTAGAACTGGATTTATTAGAGAATGGTGAAACCCTTCGGCAACCTCCAAAAAACTATGTTTTTCCCATCAAATGTTTGAATGTTCCGAAATTGGTTTATGGTAAAGAAACAGAGTTAAAGTTTCTTAAATCCCTTTTCTTGAAATGTGTTAATGTGAGCGAAGAAGTATTTGGAAAAATTTTAACCAATTGTTGGGGTCTTCAACAACTATCGATTCATGGGTCGGGCGATTTGGTAAATGTGAAAATTAGTGGACCATCTCTTGTATTGAAGCACTTTGAAATAGTCTTTTGTTTTGGAGTTAAATCTATTGAGATTAAAGATGTAAAGCTCGAGTCTTTTAGCTATTTAGGTCCCGGGATTACTATGAAACTTAGTAATCTTCCATTGCTTCAAGAGATTTCAATTGGCGAAGGGTATTCAGGATTTGAAAATAATGTGTTTGGGCAGATATCATGTTGCATTTCTCACCTTCAGATTCTTACATTGGACATTTACAGTCCAGAGGTTAGTTAGTAAAGTTATTTTGAACGTTTTTTTTATTTTGATGAATATGATTTTTTTTTTCTTCTTTTTGAAGGAAAATATAAAGTCTCTTTCTTTCCCTGAGCTACCAAAACTCAAGCAATTGATTTTGAAAGTTGGAGCATGGGATGATGATAGTCTTCTTCAGTTTACTTCTTTGGTTAAGGCATGTCCGAATTTGAGGAGATTTGTGATGCAGGTTCTTGTTCTATTCTCATTTATGATATCTTATATTTAATCAAATTGTGGTATTAATGCTTTAAATGGTTTCATATGTTAACTAGCAGTTGGTATGCCTAACATATCCTAAAATTACCAATAGTAATAGTAATTTTAATAAAAGTAACAGTATATTATGCACATGTGTTATGGCATATTTTTTCAGTTAATATGGATGTCACCAGCGAGAAGAAGAAGAAAAATAAGGCATGCAGATAAGCATCCACATCGACAGCTTGAGGTGGTGGAAATAATGGGGTATTATGGGCGTACTAGTGATCTTGAACTTCTTGTTTATTTCATTGAAAATGCAATTGCACTTCAGAAAATCATGATTGATCCTCGTTACCAGATTTTGGAAAGAAACCCAGTAGGAAATCAGCAGTTTAAGAAGGAGAAATCTGCTAGATCTTGTGCTAAGAAGCAGCTTCAACCAATAACACCTCATGCTGTTGAATTGGTAATACTCTAAACATGATTCAACTTTTTGGGGTTGTTTTTACTTTTTATTTAAGTGCTTAATCGTGTGGAAATTGTCGGAGTTCGTGAAACTCATGCACCATTTTGGTGTTTAGGAAATCAGATTTGTTAAAGGGTGAGTCTTTCTTGACGTTATATGTATTGTACAAACTTTTATTGGATGAGTTATATGTTATGATTGTACAATCTATGGTAGTATGGGCAAAAGGTTACAGGTATACCTGGAATGCAAACAAATAATTTCTTAAATATCTATCTTTCTATAAAAAAAATTACGAATAATTGATTTAGATATATTCATGTATTACTTGCATTCATTTGGATTGGGTATCAAACATTGGTAGACGACACACATTGTTTCTTTAGTTATGAGAGATTGTTAGACTATGCATGTGTATATGATATAATGGATTAACATTAGGCTGGAGGGAGTGATTAGGCTGGAGGGAGTGGTGCCACAAAAGTTGCACTCTCTTCACTGCCACGTAGGCATCGCCTCACTCTTTAACACAAAAGTGTGGTTTTATACCACACCCAATGAATGGTGCCACACTCCTTTAATTATTTTTTATTTTTAAATAAATAAAATTATTAGTTTTAATTAAAAACAAAAGATTTCATTAATTAAAAATAAAAACAATTACATTACTTAAAAAAAAACATGACATTAAAAAAAATCCTAGGAAATTAGAAAATAAAAAACTAGAAAGCTTAAACCTACAACTTAAAAAAAACACACACACACACATCAAATAATTAAAAACTTGGAAAACAATTACAAATTAACCACGATTAGCGTAACGTTTTTTCATGTCTTTCTTCATTTGCAAAACAACTTGAAGCGCATCCCCGGTCAAATTCGATGTGTCCATCGATAGCACTCTCAGGTCGCTGTCCCTTTGTTTCCGACTCTCTCTATCCGAAGCAAGTTGCAAAAATTTATCCATTCTATCTTTTATGCCTTGCACATTATCGCTCATTTCTTTCAAGTCATCCGATTTTGACGCTTTGTCCTTGTCTTTGTTTTTTGTTTTGTCACTTCCCATTGGTTGGGGGGATGGTGACACTTGAACGGGCTTATCCTCGTTGAGGTCGAAACAAACACGAACATCCGATGAAGTGTGTTCGGATTCGGAAGTTCTTGACCGTTTTGATCCACTATCGATGTGCTCGTCGCTTGTTTTTAGATTTTGCCATTTTTTGTTGCCTTTGAGTAGATTCCAAACTTCAAAAAACTTGAAAGTTTTCTTTTGCTCTTTTTGATAAATGTTAAAAAGCTTTCTCCAAAATCACTTCATCACTTTCACCACTTTTCCATTGCCGTTTCATGTTGTTATATAAATCGTTAAACAACATGATGTCTTTGTTCATCTTTCCCCATTTTGAGTACACCTGATGTTTAGTACGATATGGTTCTAGGTTCATTCCTCTGTGGAATCTAGCTCTAACGCGCATCAAAAAACGCTCATGTTTTTGGTTCCCTCCCGTCTTCGCATCCTCTGAAACGTCAATCCATGATTGTGCTAATACTAACTCTTCTTGAGGTTCCCACGGTTTAGCTTCCGCCTTCTCTTTTCTTTTATTTCTTGGTTGAGATGGTTGAGTTTGTGGAACAAATTCTGGTTCGGATTCGGAGATGGGTGTTTGTGGTTGGGATTGTGTTTGTGAAACAAACTCTGGTTGAGAACCAAAATCAAAATGATCACAATCTTGGTCAAATTGTGGTTGTGTAGGACGTTGTGGTTGTTGGATATGTTGCGGAAAATAGGGAAGCATACCCCCCGTAGTGGTAGAAAGGAGGCGAATAAACCGGTTGATCGAGTGAAGGTCTTGGAGTTGTGGTTTTTCTAGTGGTTGTTTTTTGGTTGGTTAGATTTTTAGAGGATGACATTTTTGTGGGTTTTAAAATAGAGAAGATGGTAAAAAAAAATGTTTGTGAGTGGTTTTGGTTAATTTGATAAGGTATTTATAGTGTTAGTAAAAAACAAAAAAATAATAATTTTTTTGAAAAATAATCGTTTACAAATGGTAACCACGACGACCAATCAAAAGCAAGGAAGAAACGCTCCCCTGGAAGGCCGTAGTGCGGCCTCAGCCTGTAACATCCCAAAAATCATGACCAAAAATTTTGTTTTTAATTAAGTAACTTATAAAATTGTTTACTGAAAAACATCATCGAACCATATCATTTCATAAAACCATAGTCACATGTCTCAAAATCATATCATAAAATAGTAATATTATCAGAGTATAATCCTGATAATCTCATAATGCAGAAAATTATGTGTGTGTGTGTGTGATGCGCTGCTACCGTGCCGGCTCTTTCCCCTTCGATGAAGAGGTACCTGAAACAAAACTGAAAACTGTAAGCACAAAGCTTAGTGAGTTCCCCCATCATACCTCATACCATATAACAAACATACTGTCGGGCAATTCTGGGGTGCCCGACCTACCCTGCTAGGCCATTCTGGGGTGCCCGACCTACCCTGCCAGGCCATTCTGGGGTGCCCGACCTACCCTCCGGCTTATCTCAACCAACTATGGGGACTATTTCACCCCCTACTACTACCACATAATATCATAGCATAAATAGTCTGCCTGGCAATTGTGGGGTGCCCGACCTACCCTTCGGTCCTTGCGACCGTGACACGGGGACTATTCCCCCTACTATCACTATCACATAACATCATATGATGCTAGCACATAAAACATATCAAGCAGTAGCAAACCTAGATAATTATCACAAAGACAATCATCTAATCAAACAACTCCTACTAGTGGGCCGACATTGTGGTCGTAGACCCACTTCTACTGGAGGTAACTCACATCAATGCCGTGCATTAACTGAACTGTCCTCGGCGCTGGAATCGACTCCCCTCAAACTCCTACACATAACAACCTTCCTTAATTACCATTTCCTACTCATAACCCTTTCAAGGGTCAACTCAGGTCAAAGTCAAAGTCAAGGTCAACGCCCTAGTCAAAGTCAACATCTTGGTTGACTCAACTCGCCGAGTTGATCCATTAACTCGTCGAGTTCCTGAATTTAGAGAAACTTGCATTCGCGATCGGACTCGTCGAGTTACCCTCTAACTCGCCAAGTTTCTCCTTATGACATAATCGGGACTTTCCAGTTGAACTTGTCGAGTCCTTCCTTGGAATCGTCGAGTTATCCTTCATAAAGATCGGAACATTTGCTCATTGACTCGCCGAGTTCATCCTTGAACTCGTCGAGTCCTGCTTCATAACAGTTGGGACATTTTCTTGAACTCACTGAGTTCATCCTGGAACTCGTTGAGTTCTTGATCTTCAAGTCCATATTCACGTCCATCTTGTTGAGTCCTCTTTTAGACTCAACCAGATTGCTTAGAAACAGAAAAGGTTGGGGAACCATGACCCGACTCACCGAGTTCTATGAACGACTCGTCGAGTCCCCCAAAGTCCAAGTCTATCCAGTCGATTTCAGTCGGACGTAATGCATCCAGAACATAGATCTGACCTCCTAGGATCGATATAGCACGTAAAGTTACAAACTTTACGTGCATGCGTGGGTTAACTAGTCCACAAAGTCCTAAAAATCGTTCCATAAGATGCATGGGACTCCCATGGCCATAAAGTTGGCACCTTTATGCCATAGAGTCCCTCTAAGACTCTAGATCCGAAGTCCTAACACCAAAACAAGCTTGTATCCACGAATGGTTCCATAATGAGCTCTAAATGGACCTAAACTACCCCATGGAGAGATCTAATGAATGAATGAACAAGGTACAAACTTTTTACCTCAAATGAGTTAAGAATGTGACAAAATCTTTGGATCTACTTGATTCCTCTTGATCTCCCAAGCTTCCTCTTTCTTTTCAAGCTTCAAAAACACACAAAATCCCTCAAGAATGGCTCTCACGCTTGCAAAATGCTCTAGGGTTTCAAGTTAGGGTTTTCTAGACTAAGGGAGATGATGGAGGTTGGGAGGGAGGCCAGATAAAGTGTTTAAATAGGGTGCAAACCCTAAAATTTAGGGTTTCATCCAGACAGGTCTACTCGTTGAGTCGGGGCTTCCGACTCGGTGAGTAGACTCTTCCACCCACGTCCAAGATTCGCCTCTTACTGACGAGTTGGGGCCTCCAACTCGTCGAGTACCAGTGTAAAAATGCAAAAATTCATATTGAAAATACGTACCGGGAATCGGGCGTTACACAGCCGCACCTGGACCACACCCAGGGGCGGTGTTTGTGCTTATGTGGCTAATGGAGTGCGGCCTGGACCGCGCCTACTCCGCCTGGCCTTATTGACAACGTCATCTGTACTTAATGGGTCGCACAACTAGGATAAGGAGTCGATAATACGATTAGAACAATCCTAAGAACACTACGATATCTTATCTTATAATGGTTATAAAGTTATCCACATTGGTGATCAATACCAACTTGATCAACAATAAAGACAAAAGAAATTAAGGGGAAAAAAAGAAAAAATAATAATGTATGTTGTAGTGTTGTGAATGATCGGCCCATCCACCTTATTGGTTCTTGAATTTTAACTATTAATCAAAAATTATAAATTATAGATGACACTTTTTTTATAAAAAGAAAATAAACAAACCAGATAGACTGAAATTTATAATTTTTTCTATACAAAAAGAGACTAATATTGATATATATTTTTTATATTTGTCATAATCCTAAAGATTAATATATATATATATATATATATATATATATATATATATATATATATATATATATATATATATAGAGGTTCCGTTGAGATTAAAAATAAAATAGAGATCTTGAGATTCAACATCAGCCACATATTTCACATCTGTCGCTCTAACCCTCTAGCGTACCGGCGCGACATGTATGTTATAATCATAAATGGTTATATAGTGTCGTTCGTTCCTTTCTCCTCTACCACCATCCCCACCACCACAACCGCCACCACCACTACCACCACCTCTTACACCAGCTGACCCCACCAATGTCACCTCCGTCACTT